TAGTCAGCCTGTACAGCGTGTCCGAGGCTGTAAATCTTTACGGGAGCAGAATGCCTCATCTTTCTGCCGTGGATGCACTGGTACTTTTGAACTGCTGTCCGTGAGGTTAGCAGCCCGATTCGTAACCACTACACTACCATATCTTTAAATTTAAAAAAGAAAAAAAAAACTCCTTGTTATATAACTCCAGTACCATCATTACACACACAAAAAGAAAAATTCCTTAATACCAGTTATTCACTTTTATCCTATTGTTGTATAGATTGTTTCACAGTTTGTTTCTATCAGAATCCACATACTGGAACTGGGTAATACATTTCATATCTATTTTTAAGTATGTCTCTTTATTTCCTTGCAAGTATTTTCAATGTTGTTGAAAAAGAAACCAGGTTCAGTTTGTTCTGTGGAGTATCCCAGTATAAATTTTGTTGTTCAACATGTTCTGTCCTATATCTTGTAAATTAGCAACTAAATCTGTTTGATCAAATTCATGCTTGATTCTTTGGCAAGAACACGTATGTATCATGCATTTCCATCAGCAGTTGCATAATATCTGATGATCTTTCTGCGATGTCATCCATCATTAGGAATCATTGCTACAATTCCTTTTGCTGATGTCTCTCCAGTCATTTTTGCCCTGTGGAGCTCTTTTCTCTAGTAGATTCCATAGGAAGGGCTCATGCAAAGACTATTCCGATTTATAATAGTTTGCCTTTGGTTTTTATTTGATGATCAGTTGGGCTAGATATTAAGTCCTTAGCACACCTTTGTTGTTGCTGTTGTGTGCTGTTCAGTCAATTCAGACTTATAGTGACCATACAGGAGAGAGAACTGCCCCATATGGTTTCTTAGGCTATCACTGTTCCTGGTGTGGTGCTGTAGGATAAGCACTGGGTTGCTAACTGTAAGGTCAGCAGTTCAAGCCCACCAGTTGTTCCTGGGAAACCCTACAGAGGGACGCTATGAGTCAGAATGACTCGACGTTCCTTAATAACTACAACAATCTTTCCAGGCCCAGTTCTCCAGACGTTTTCTTCCACAGATCCACTGAGTGGGTTTGAATCACTGATTGGTTAGCAGCTGAGCATTTAACTGTTGTGCCACCAGGGATCCTTTAGTTCTCCTTTAGAGCCACCCTGTATAGGATTTCCAAGAAGCAACTGGTGGGTTTGAACTGATGACCTTGTAGTTAGCAGTCCAGTAACTCTTTTCTACCATAATGTTCCTGTCAAAATTTGTTAATGTTTGATTTTTTTTCTTTTATAAGTGACTTGGGGTTTTTTGCCTGATAGGCAAATGAGTTTTCTCATTTCCCCTAAGTACATTAGTTTTACTAAGAAATTTCAGTGTTGGTCTTTTGAGTCAGTTTCCCTAGGAACATGGTATGCCTTTTCACTATTTCCAGGGAAGTTTTCTTGAATGATGGTTTTTAGTTTTTGTCTTATTCAATTGTTTGGGTTTTATTTGTGGCTGGGTGTGTGTGTGTGTGGCGTGTATAATCCTGTGTCAGTTCCAACTCATAGTGATCCTGTATAGGGTTTCCAAGGCTGTACATCTTTACAGGAGCAGAATGCCTCATCCCAGTGAAATAGTGTAGGACAGCCCTTGCTAACCTCTAAGAATGCGCAGGCAGATTGTTGTGATGGTAAAAAAAAATTCTTTGATGCAACTTTCCTGGCCTTTTCATTAATACAGTTTTCCACGTTCTTAAAACTTCTTACTAGAAAGCCATGATCGTCCAGTATCCTTCAGGAAAATCTATCAAAATTACCTCTTGGGAATCCCCCAAAAAGTTGCCATGCCTTCTGAACTGATCTGTGTTGAATTTAACTGCTCCAGAAGATCCTCTTAGGAGTCACTGTTTTGATTGGACGGACCTTTTTTTTGAAGGTACCTGAAGGAGACTAAGACAAGTTTATTACCAAACTTAATTTCAGCTATCCACTGATGGGTATAAGCACTGGACTTCAAGGTCAGTTCAAACTGCAAGGTCTGGGGTTCAGTCTCACTAATCACTCCTTAGAAATCCTACACAGGGTTGGTATGAGTCGGAACTGACTCGACAGCACTGAACACCACCCCCACCATTCACTGATTGCAGAGACATGCTTAAACACATTTTGTTTAGAACAAACCTGTGCATGTATGAACTGGAGCCCTAGTTGCAATCTTTTTTATTTATCCTCATGCAAACATACGATAGTTGAGAAAAGTATAATTCTTCTTAAGCAGTAAGATAATTTTATAAGATCAATGACTTTTATTGTCTAGGTCCAAATACTGAAATTGTTGCTATTCTCAAATTATTAGAATTATCTTAATATTGACCATAAGAAATATGCCTGATATCCTTAGAAAACTTACTTAGTTCAAGTGGAAGAATAATTTCTAAACTCTTCTATATTTTGTTAAGTGCCATTGACTCGATTCCAACTCATAGCAACCCTGTACATAGTTTCCAAGGAACACGTCATGGGTTTGAACCACTGACCTTTCCGTTTAAACTGACCTTGTGGTCCAGTGTTTATCCAACATCACACCATGACGCTCTGTCATATATACTTACACGCATGTATGTATATATTCTCATCTGCTCTTCATTCCAATTCATGATGTCATGATGATCTGATGTACAACGAAAGGAAACACTGCCCAGTTCTGCGACATCCTTGCAATCACCGGCATGTTCAAATCCATCTTAGTGGCCATGGTGTCAGTACATCTCACTGAGGGTCTCCCTTCCTGTTACTGTCCCTCTACTTCACCACATGTCATGTCCTCCTCAAGCAGATGGTCACTCCTGATATTGTGTCCAAAGCAAGCAGATTGGACAATACTCTTATGTGTATGTATGCACACACACATATACATATGTACATATATCTCACTCAGCCCTCTAATACACAGCCTATTTCTTCTGAAGAAATATGTAAGGATGAAATCACTAGGTCACCTAGAAAATGTTTTCTGTAAGGAAAAAAGAGCATAACCACCTTCTTAATTCGAGGTTCATTATGTATAATGAATAATCTCACAAGTAAAAAGAATGATGAAGCAAATTCAGGTAATAGGAATGTATAACATTTTTTAACATTGATTTAACCTTTAAAATTGACTTTTAACCATTGCTGTGTAATGTAAAATGCTATATAAGTAATTGCTCAGATATCAATTTGATAACTTTCTTTTTTAAAAAGGTATAAAGTAATGTGAAACTGTTCATGTCTTTTTGCAAGATTAGTTTTAAAAATTATTTCTAACAAAATAATGTTATTTAAATCACCTGTATCTCTCATTTAAATAAAACTATGTTTAAAGTTGAAAGCTTCTGTTGGAACATTCTATCCTCTGACATTATCAATTAAACAGCATAATTTACAAAGTGCTTTTCAATACATTATTTCATCTAGTTCTTCCTGTAGCCATTCAAGATAGGTACTACACCATTTTTTAAAACAAGACAATTGAAGCTGAGTCCTGACGTCAAAAGTTGTATAACCAAAACCCACATACTCTTCATGACACTGAGAAAGGCGAGTGCAGAGTGAGTCCTTAGAAGCAAGTCGCATTTTAAACATTACAATGTGTTAATTGTGTTTCACATGCTTTTGTTCTAACCTATAACTGAGTTATCAAGTTCTTTATAAGAAAAATGTTCTTAATCCCATGGGTACTCATTTTGTAGTAATTGTAAGTATAATTAAAAAACATATTCATCTACTCACTCATTCAGATCCTTATTAAGTAACTCCCATATGTACAACCCTGTGCTAAATATTAAGGGAATACAAAGATAAATTATGAAATGGTGCCAACTCTCAAGGAGTTCACAATCTAACGAGAGTGACAAGTAGTTTAACACAAACCGTAGGAAAGAAATTGCAAGCAAACATTTATCCACACCAAAAAAAATCACCTTATTTCTTCATTTAAAGTATATCTGTAAACTGACAGAAAAAACTGTTATCATATACACCTGAATTAGCTCAGACTAATTCAGGCATATATGATATCAAAGGATAATGACTGGTTTTAGAAAATAAAATGTCTTACCACATCACATCTTTGTGATTGGTTTGGATTTTTATAATAAAATCTTAAAGAGGAAAAATGGTAGATCCATAAAATCAATAAAGCATCATGCACAATGACACAGAAAATGTTTGCAATAATATGTAAAAAGCTGTACACAACTGGGTCTCGTATTAAAGAGCTAAATCTGAATTACCTTATTTGAGACTTGTACAATTTCATCATCCATGAAACAAAGTTGATCTTTATCTCTTAGGATTATAACCCACAGATGCCATAATTATTTCCATCTGTCATAATATACAGGGTTAAAACATAACCATTATAAAAACTTTCATCATTTACATATCAAAAATATTTAGGACTAAAACTAGAGATACAAAGAAAACATGAGAATGGCCGAGGTATGTTAAGAGTCCACTCTTAATGCACAAATGAATATAAATTTGTATGCATCTAGTTTTTACTCTATTTAATTGCTTATTTTTAGTGGCTTAGATACAAAACTCTTAAAAACCTAGCAAAACCAATATGAGGATTCACTATGTGAGGTGCAATTCAGAGAAAGAATGGGCAATAATACAGTTTTAAAATTATTTATTAACTCATATTCATTTCAAACAAGTCACTGAAAACCTGGACTCTCTGCTCTCAATACTCATTAATTTTTCCACCCAAAATAATTAAGTACTATGTACTTTTATAACTACCTATTTGTGACAGCTGTGATTTGCAAAAACTTTTTAAAAATATGTAAAGATTAGAAAAATCGAATAGGCCAAGCCTTGCTCTAACTGACCCAACGACCAATCAGATGGCGTAAACCTTTGCAGATTACAGAGGACTTTGTTCAACAGCCCAGCACCTACTGGAGGTGTTTCCACAGAAACTTTTAACACCACAGTGCAGTTGCTGATAACCTGAGGCTGCAACAACAATAAGGACAGAAGAGGTCTTGGTGATTCATATTATTCTTCAACAGAATTCTCTTCTCCGCTTTCTTCACTGATTTCGTCTTTTTCTTTGCAAGATTCCTGGCTGTTGATATCAACCAAATAATTTTCATCCCTTTTCTCTCTTTCTTCTATTTTGTCTTCATTAAAGCTAGAGGAAGAAATTTATCAATCTTTCAAAGGAAAAATGATTCATTTTAAAGGTAAACAAACGCTTTGCATGTCGTCAGCCTTTCTCAAGTGTGTGAACTCCAATTTGTTATTAAAAACAAAACAAAAACAACTTTGAAAAAGAGCCAACTGGGAAATTAAATATTCCTTTGTGAACTATTTTATTTCCAAACTTGAATGATTGACTCTTTAAAACTCATTTTGAAAGCATGTTATTATTTTCATTATTTATGTGATATAGAAATCTAAGTTATTTTGCTTTAAAAAAGAAAACACTTCATCACCAAGTTATATTTTGAATGTGTCAAACATGTTAAAATATCACTGTGTTTTACAACAGTTCCCAGGTATTCCATTAGGTAAAAGACCTTATCAAAATAGTACAGAACTGTATGCTTTCTTGCAGGTAAGAATTTTTTCAAAAGTAAACCACTCAGACATCTTATATATGTTACCTTTCTTTTTCTTCAGTGAAACTTGTCATCTCTTGATTACTGAAGTACTCAAGTATTTTTCCAGCTTGGCCTTTCTTTGAAACAAACTCATCACATATTCCTAATGCTTTTAGGGTGTTAGAATAATGCTTTTCAGCTGCCAATCTTGCATTTTTCTATAGGAAAGACAAACCTTTTTAGATAAGAACAAATTATATTTAAAGTTCCATAAAAGATTTATGGGTTTAAAATGCCAGTGAAAATTAAGTTCAATAATGATAGTTGGTTAGAAATACGTATAGACCCTATGACCAGGAATTCTGTTCTTAGGTATAAACCTAGAGAAACTCATGAATATGTTCCCATGAGACAAGTACAAGAACAGTCCTGATAGTACTGTTTTAAATAGCCTCCAGTTTAAAACAACCCAAATATCTATCAGTAGTAGGATAAATAAATTTTGATCTATTCAAATAGTAGAGTAAAATAAAACAATGAAAATGAATGAACTATAGCTATATACCACAATATGGACGGATCTCACAAAATACAGAACAAAAGAAGCCGAACACATTCGTGTACATTATAGTATGGTTCACTTACATAAAGTTCAACATTAAACTATCCTTTTTGGGGATATGTGCAAAGGTGATAAAAATGCAAAGAAAAACAAAGAAATGACTATCTCTAAAGTTAGAATGGAGTCTTGGTGTGATGCTGCGGGATACAGCACTGGACTGCTAGGTCAGTTTGAACCACAATGTTGGTGGTTCAAACTCACCAGCTGCCCCTTGGAAACCCTGCGTAGGGTAGACTATGAGTTGGAATCAACTTGATGGTACTTAACAACAAAGTTCAAACAGTGGTACCTTCTAGGGGCTAGGTAAAGGGTTTTCTGAAGTGCTGGTTATGGACTGTTCTCCTGGATGGTGGCCCATGTGAATATTTAATCTAAAATCATTCTTTACACTGTACCTATGTTTTATGCAGTTTTCTAACTGTATAAAGATAGCTGAAAAATAAGAAAATAAGTTCATGTGATAGTTGTCAGGTTCTTTGATGAACCTATTATAACTTTTACTTTTTAAAAACTGTATCTCCAATCTATTAAAACTTATAAAATCATCAGTGTCCCTCTTTACTCTGTGGAAGAAGCAAGGAATTGTGTTCAGATCTCTTGCATATCACTTCCTGACTTTGGGATCGGTGTGGAGAAGTAATCACCCTCTTACACTTGGAGGGAGTCGCAAGTTGTCATAGTTCCTGAGACCACAGGTTTGATGAAGACACAGGTTGACTGCGGTTCACACTAGAGGCTGAGCATAAGTATGCTTTCAGTTCCTATGAGTAGATCTGAACTGGTATAGAGCCAAGAACTGTCCTCTGGACCTCCAACTAAAAGCAAGGTGAATTTTTTGGAAGGGTTATTATTAGATGAGTACCCCATCTAACCCCCATATTTAACAAATGAGTAAACCCAGGCTCCTTAGGGAGGTTTGCACAAGGTCACAAGGATGACAAGTGATAGAACCACATCTCTTGATGCGTTCCTAGGCCTCTTCCACTCTGCTGCTCTTTCATGTTGCAGTGTGAAGGTAGCCTGAAGCCTGACTTTACCAGTGCAGTTGTCAGGGATTTGAGTAACCCAGGGACTCCAGCGTAAGGATGGACCATGGAGCATAGTGTTCCGTAGTAGAAACCAAAACAGTAAAGACTGATCATTGTTAAGTGATCTACGTAGTCAGTTCTGACTCATAGCAACCCTGTATAGGGTTTCTGAGGAGAGGCAGGTGAGTTACAATGCATAAAATGATCACCCTGTAATCACCTGATGCTAAATCACTGCTGTTAACATGCACTCACTGTGAATAACAATTTCTAGGAAAGTATAGTTAAAAAACAAACAAACCAGAGGCTGGAATACTAACAGATAAGCCTTGAGGGCCTGAAAAGCTAGGCAAAGTGAGATAAGAACTGTGCCCCAAAGGCTGTGAAGCAGTATAAAGAAGCCCCAAAGGTAACTCAGAATGCATTAGAGAATTCCCCACAAAGCGGAAAAAACAAACATGTAGCCATCAACATGTATGAAGTGTTGAATGGAAAGTTGGTTAGCTCTGTAACCCTGCACCCAATTCACAATAAAAAGTTTTTAAAAGCTATGTTTTTTCCAGAAAATAACAGGTAAAGATGAAAGTTTATGTAATGGTTCTCTTCAAACTAGGGCAATACTTATTTTTGTTGGGTTTTTTTTGCTGTTGTTGTTGTTGAGGGGGGAGTCTATCTTCCCCCACACACTCTTAAAACTCCCTCTTGAAAACTTGTAAGCCAGTCACTTCATGCCATTATTGCCCCCTCATTTTAGGTAGCCAGTGCCTAAGTTGCCCATCCCTATCTAGCCTGTATACAGAGGGGATAGCATTGATATTTGTTATGAAGGCTCCTTCCCTCTCAGTTGGTATTTTGATCTATTGCATTCATAAGTCTAGGTCAAGTTCATCAAATTGTAGCAATTTACACTCATTTCCCTTATAAAAAAAATTTTTTTTTCCTCTTCCTCTAGTTGAATTCTGATTATCAAGCCATCGAGACTAGGTCAAATGGGTACTATCTGCAAGTTTGGGCATTCTTGTGTGTCTCCCCTCACTTCTTATCAGTTGGATGCTTCACTCTCAGCTCTAGCCCTCCGTGGTTATGTCTTTGTCCGTGGGCTCAGGAGTCCCCAGATCTCACCACACTTAGGACCAACCAGCCCTTCCTTTTCTCTCTCTTATTTCCAGGTCAACGGGAGTCTATAGAACGTGGTCAAACTCAGTAGGGCAATACGTTTTGAAGAGAAACTGCATTTAGCTTTTATAACTAGTTTAGTTTACAGTAAAAATTTCATTCATCTAATAAATAATTATTGAATACTTATTTTGTGGCATCTCCGCATGGTTGAGGGGTATGTGGGGAAGGAAGAGTGTTTTGGACAAAGGAAATCTATTTGTAGCCAAAACGTGATAAAAGAAATGAAAAGATATGAAACTAACCTATGTTTTCAACATAATTACATTTCTTTATGAGTTTAATTTCACACATACCATCTACTTAGCACATTTTCTCTGGTGCCTAGAAACAGAATTTACAGCACAACATACTGTCTACTAGTGTTGAGACAACATTAGGTATGTTGTCAGCCTGGGCGAAAGAAAATATGACCTTGTTGTTGTCTGGCTTATTTGATTATAGCCATGTAATCTGGGTTCACATATGTTTAGTAACTTCTCCCCTGTGCCAGATGCTGTCTTATATGCTAGGAATATAAAAATATTACGATCACCTTTAAAATTAATTAACTAGAAGGGAAGAGAGACGGTATAACAGATAAATGTCACATACTGTGAGAGGAGCAAAGACAAAAGTATACACAGAGAACAAAACATAGCGTAAAGAAAAGTGCTAAGCTCAGTGTGAGGAAACTATGCAGGAAGTGATTTTACACTAAAACTTGAAGGATAAGGAGGATCCCAAGGGTGTTCAGGAGTCAGAAAATAACATGAAAAATTCCAAGTTTAAAATGAGTACTCTGGTATGACTTGAAAGTAAAAGGTGTGTGTACAGCCATGTATGTGCATAGCTGGGGGAATAGAGATGAGTGCAGTAGGAGAGGTTAACAGAAATCTCTGTACCTTGCTTTCTAAGACTCATAAATCTACCTTATGGCAAGAAGCAGGGCAGTTTAGCAATAAATTGCATGGCTTTGGGAAGCAGACCAATTTGGACTCTCATCATCATCCCATCATTTACTAACTACTACAAAACCTTGGAAGGAGCACTGGTAGCATAGTGGTTACGAATCGGGCTGCGAACTGCAAGGTCAGCAGTTCAAAACTACCAGCTGTTCCGCTAGTGAAAGATGAGGCTTTCTGCTCCCGTAAAGATTTACAGCCTGGGAAACCCTATACAGGGTTGCTGAGTCTGAACCGATTCCACGGCACATAACAACAACAGCAACATAAAGCCTTGAGAGTCTTGGTGTGGCACTGTGGGTTAATGCGCCAGACTGTAAAGCTGTTTGAACTGCAACACCGGCGATTCAAGCTCACCAACTGCTCCTCAGAAACCCTATACAGGGTTCCTATGGGACGGAACCACTTGACAGCACTTAACAACAACAACAACATAAAACCTTGTGAGTTATTTACCTTTTATAAACTTCAATTAGTCAAGGACATGCTCCTTTGATATTATTCATTGCAAATGAGGGCAAATGAAATTAGTGAGAATAGATGGGATCCACAATTATTAACTGGCTCAAAAAAAAAAAAAAAAAAGGAAGAAAAAGAAGAAAGAAAGACATTTGACAATGAGTTGATTCCAACTCATGGAACTGTGCTCCATACAGTTTTCTATGGCTGGGATGTTTTGGAAGCTGATCATCGGGTCTTTCTTCCAAGACATCTCTCTGTGTGGATTCAATCTGTCAACCTTTCAGTTAGCAGCGGAGTTCTTAACCATTTACACCACGTAGGGCCTCCTATTAAATAGGTACCTAGGGTGAAAATGTTAACATGGGAATGGGAAGGTGAAGATATAAATAATTTTGCAAAGAGCAAGGCAAGATGATCTGTTGTTGTTGATGTTGTTGTATGTCATCGAAACTGGTTCCAACTCATAGTGACCCTGCATAGGGTTTCCAAGGAGTGACTGGTAGGTTTGAACTGCCAACCTTGTGGTTAGCAGTCCAGTGTTTATCCTATTGCACCACACTAGGACTCCAAGATGACCAGTTAAACTACTCTAATAATTTAGATAGAAAATAACAGGGGTTTCACCTGACATGTGGCCATCAGAGATGGTGAAGAGCATGTCAAAAAAATTATTGAGCTCTTGGTGACCAACTGAATGGGAAGGAAAAGTGGTGCCCCCAACCAAAATAGGAAATCAAGGAGGATCTAGCTGGGGGCAAGAAAGATACATCTGAGATGTGTATGGAGAACCTAGTACGCATGTCTAGTAGTCCAGTGGATATAGACACCCATAGTTCAGAGTTGGAGATAACTACTTTGGGCCAAAATTAAATCCTTTTATGCTGTACAATGTAAAATAGCTTATAATGGCACTGGACTGCTAACCACAAGGTCAGCAGTAGTTAGGACACTGAGTTGGAACCGACTTGACAGCACTTACCTATAACAAAAATGTTAACTAAGATGTTAAAAAAATCTATCCTACAGCATGAAATGCATTACATAAAATTATATCCAAATCAATAAGTTAAACGTTTGCATAACTGTGAGATATACCCTAAGTACACGCTCATTGTTCTCAGGGAATCATGGATTCAGACAGTCCTGGGCTACACTCATTTGTCCCTTGCAAGTGTTGGCAGGAGGCTCCAATTGTCTATTGTCCAAATGTAACTGCTTGAAATTCACAACACAGCACCTGTAACCTCCAGTGATTTCTGTCTATTGTTAAGCTATGTCACCACACAAACCCTGTTTTTATGGGGACAAAGGAGAAGCGGACCTGAAATTGACAAATCTCCCTTTATGAGAAAGATTATAAAATTGAGTGCAAATTGAACAAAATCAGGGCCCACTGTCCATTAGACTAGTTTGCTTTTCCTATGAAAAGGAAGTCCTTTTTATAAATGTACAGAAGATTGAAAATTATAGACTCACTTAAAAAAATCACTGGCAGAAATAAATCTGATTCAATTAGTCATTTTGTTTCATTTTTTAATTCTGCAAAGACCTCAAGATCACATTACGAAGCCTCACCTTAATACTTGGCCAAGTTGGTACTGAAAAAATACCAGCCATTAAAAATTGGTTGTGAGACTATGATTTTGATTTGAACAATTAGATTAACAGCATGTTATTTATCACATTTACATGCCTCATCAACAAGATTCAATGCTCAGAGTTTAAGCAAAATTACTTACTTGACTGATTTGATGAAGTTGTCTCAGAAACAATAACATGTCTAAGTAAATTATATAACACATGAGAAAAATGGACTGTAAAATTAGGAGCTGAAGATTTTTTTTAAAAAGCAGACAATAGCTCTTATATTCCTACAAACACAACCTGAGCAACCCTTTCAAACAGTAGAGGCCTCTTTTTTAATTTTTCTTCTCTTTCTTCTAGTTCTTGTTGGTATTCTCTCATCCTTTCCTTTTTGCTCCTTCTAAAATTAAACAAAAGGAACGAAATTTTAAAAGGTCTTCTAAGAAATAAAAACTTGCACATTTAACAGCTAGCCTTGATAACAAATCAGAAATGAATTTGAACACAGTATACAGTTACAATAATTTCTTTTCCAAGCTGAAAATTTTTCATGAAATGGAGAATAAAAATCCTAGGTTCTAGGAACACACATTTTATACTCTGGAATTAGCCTAGGTGCTTCAAGACTTCTGAATTCTCCGAGACATGAAGGGGCTTCAAAAGGGCCTGAAGAGATAAATGAATGCTTTCATATCGCATTTATAAGCTGTCAGTGTATAAAACTAAGAAAATTTGAGTCATATTAGATATCGTCTCTTAAGTAATTTCTTCTGAAAACAAGATCTATTCATATATTCCCCCTAAACAGGATCATTTGTAAGTTGGTGGCAAAGTTAATTAAATGGGTACAGATCCGGGAAGACATAGAGACCAAGGGGATATGACATATAGAGGAACAGAAACTAAAATGCATTCATTCATATAAGTCTATTTATTCTATGGACACAATCTTATAATGAATTAAACTATGCTATTTTTTCTGTGCAAAATGTATTAACTCTAGCAAGATAAGAAGATTTCATGGACTAGTGAACACAATTATATCATAAAGTTATACTTATGCTTGCTGTTATAATTACGTTATACGTATACTTATGTTAATGTTATATTTATGTTAAAGTTATACTTATGCTGGTGTGGAGCTGAGGGATAATGCACTGGACCGCACGGTTGATTTGAACCACAAGGTCGGTGGTTCAAACTCCAGCTGCTCATTAGAAACTCTATACAGGGTTGCTACGAGTCATAACCGACTGAAGTAGCACTTAACAACAACAACATATACAAGATAGTATTACAAAAAAAGCGACGGTGTGCTGAAGACCTGGGGGGCACGGGGGGAAGGATTGCATGAAGGGGATTATAACCATGACAATGAGACGATATACGATAGAATGAACGTAAAACTAATGTTCTCCCATGTAAACTATCACTAATTCACAATAAAACATTTAAGAAAAAAAAAGTCCATTTTTCTCCTAAGAATGAGTAGTTTATTTCTAAGGCATTTTTTCACTCAAGTTCATCAAGGTAAGAACCTTCTATCAGTCAACCCTATACAGAGTCGCTCTGCATCAGAACTGACTCAATGGCACTTAACAGCAACATCTATCAATTGGAGTCCTGGTGTGTGGCACTGTGGGTTAATGCGCTAGACTATAGGTCACTTTGAACCTCAAGTTCAGTATTTCAAGCTCACCAGTCGCTCCTCAGAAACCCTATAGGGTCACTGTGTGTCGGAACCACCTTGATGGCACTTAACAACAATCAATGACTCGATCGGGAATCCTGGTGTGACATTGCAGAATAAGCACTAGACTGTTAACCCCAAAGGCAGTGGTTCAAACTCACCAGATGCTCCTTGGAAACTCTATACAGGGTCCCTATGAGTCAAAATGGACTCGACGGCACTAAACAACAACACCAGTCCATTAATACTATATAATAATGGTTTAAGGATTGTAATTAAAAGCAAAAATATATATATGAGGATAAGACAAAGTATTGCCCCAAAATCATAGACAAAATATCTATTGAACAAAAATATCAAAACATGAAGCTATTGTTTCTTAACACATCTTCCCTCTAGGTCTCTAAACTTCAGAAGGTAGCATTTCTATCTCTCATAAACGTCCCCAAAGAATTCTGTGTTCTTCGATTTATACCATGCTAAAACAATCCTCAAGGGACTCAAATCATTTTCCTTTTCAATGTTCTGGGAATAAAAAGAATCTGAAGGGGCAAGATCAGGGACGTAGAGTGGATGGTGTAAGGTGTCCCAGTGAAATTCTCATAGGATAGTCCTTGCTTATCCTCGAAAAATGAAACTATATGAACTCTAACAAGATAAGGAGTCCTGGTGTGGCACTGTAGGATAAGCGCTCGCCCTCAAAGTTGGTTTGAACTGCAAGGTCGGTGGTTCATTATATAAAAGATAGTATCACAAAAAAAGCCAATTTTCCTCCTAAGAATAAATAGTTTATTTCTAAGGCACTGTCATGATGGAAAAAGTTCTCTGGTGCAACTTTCCTGTCCTTTTTCTTACCAATGCAGTTTTCCATTTTCTTAAAACTTCTTCATAACATGACCTCATGATCGTCCTGTGTATTTTGGGAAGTGCAGACAAGTTCTCGCAGTGATAGAGTAATACAAAGATTTTGGGGATCCCAAAGGGGTCAGTCACTAGAACCTGCTGAGCTGACTTCTCTGCCTTGAATTTACCTGGGCCACCATATCCCCCCCTGTTTTGATTGGACTCTCCCCACCCCCAAGGCATCTTAAGGAGACTAAAGCAAATGTATTACTGAATCAAAGAGATAATTTGTCTGCAGCCATCCACTGATTGCAATCGTTGTTATGGTTAAGTGCCGTTGTGTCAGTTCCAATTCACAGCGACTCCGTACAGGGTTTCTGAGGAGCAGCTGGTGGATTTGAACTGCTGACCTTGTGATTCGCAGTCCAGTGCTGATCCTACAGTACCACACCAGGAGACCACTGATTACAGAGACATGTTTAAATGTGTTTTGTTTGGAATAAACCCATGCATATATGAACTGGAACCCTAGTAGCAATACTTTTTTACTTATCCTTGTACATGTACATATTTATACATACACACAAACTTATAAATCAAATTATTAAAAGATAATAATCATATTACTTAACCGGATTTAAAGGATATTTTTCTACTAAAACATGAACATTTTTATGTTACACATAAAAATGCTTCCTCTGGGGCACTGGTTTTCAAACTTTGTACTGCAGAATTCTAGTTAGTATTCAGTGAAGGAGTTTCAGAGATTGCACAAAGTATTTTCTTTATACTAAAACTGTAACAAAATGCAAAACATGCACACTACATTAACACACTGGGACATTAATATGTTAATTTGTGCCACCAAAATTCACGCAAACTTTGAAACAAAACACTTTGCCAAATGTATTTATTGAAAACTATTCTGAGATAACACAGTAAACTAAAAAAAAAAAGCTTTATCTCCAAATCAAGATTTTTCTCAATCCTGTATTTGAATCAATAAAGTAAAATATTTATTCTCTTCTTAATCTCTTTACATATTGCTATCCACTGATTAAAAGAGTAAGTTTGAAAACCAGTGATCTAGAGGTTCAAGATTCATGATACCTGAGAGATTTTATTCTGGATTTAGACATTTGAGCTAAACTCCCATGTGAGTCATAAGCCTTAGCCTGGGTTACTAGGAGTTTCTGCAATTCTTTCGTTCTTTGCTTCTGCTTAGTTAGGATCCGATTTCTTTCTTCGTCCAACATTTTCTTTTCCTCAAGTGATCTCCTGAGGGCAACAAACTAAGGCTTAATTCACCTTAAGCCAATGAGAATACTGTTTAGCAAAGATTCAACAGAGGAAAACTCAAAGGACAAAAAACCCAGCAAAGATTGTACACCTTTTAAAAGGATCTGACTTGTGAAATAAGCCCACAACAGGCTGACTGTAATCTTTTCTATCCATAAAGGTTCCAAACATGAAAAATACATTCATTTCCTGGAAGAACACCCTCTGGAAAAATTATTTAAATCATTTACTATATTATCTTACCAGATAATAATAATTGTTTGTTAATAATTTCAAACACACCGATATAAAATCAATATTAATTACTCAAGGGAACTTCAAAAAAGTTCTCAGAGAAATGGAATTAAAAGATAATGGAATTTTTCCACATTTTGAAGTCCCCTCATATACGTTATTTTCACAACCATGAGTGAGTCAGCAGACTCCTAATCATTTTACCTGATGGCCTGTTCTCTTTCTCTGGAAGACACTGTGGGCCTTGGAGTGTTGCAGCCACAAGGCACAGGCTTTGAACTTACAATTCTTACTGGTGACTTGTGTCTTGGAGACAGATAAGGCCAACATGTTTCTTTAGAATTTTCTTCATCTGCTTTGGTGTCTGCCAAAACTTTTTCTTTTGTACAGGACGAATGTAAGGGTGCATGAAGATCAAACGGTTTACAGCCTGTTAAGAATTTTGAACAATTGCTTTTGCTTCCTAAGAGGTATTTCTGACATTTCTCAGGAAGGTTTTCAACATCAGGACTCTGGCACTTGACCTTGTGCTTCCAATTACGCTTTTCGGGATTCTTGGTCGTCCTTGTAGCAAGATTTCTGTGAGCTGGTCTAGACGGCAGAAGGGATGGATTCTGTGAATGATCTTGGGCTCTCAGTGGTGTTTTAAGGTTTTTAATGAGCTCTTCTTCTTCTTTCAGCCTGTCGTTGGCAGTTGGGCCATAAATGGATCGAGGTATAGGCCTGGCTTTAAATCGATTTGTTTTTTTTTTAGGCTTAAAAATGTCTCTTTGCTTTTCCCGAGCTGCTTGCTTCTGTTCCTCCCTTGCAATAAACTTAAAAGGCTTTTGTGAAGCCAGAAGAGCTTCTTTACTCTTCGCTTTCCCAGCTCTCCTCCGTTCTTCGTTTTGCTTGACTATGTCATGGTAACGGGGAAGAAAGACATATGCAGGAACAGGATTGGCTCGGAATTTCTTCTGGCACTCTACATCGTCTTCTTCTTGTTTTTTCAATAGTCTGTGTATCATCTCAATATCTGACTTAGACTTCATGTTCTCATCTCTTTTTTTCTGCTCTCTAATCATCATCTGAAAAGGCTCAGGTACTGTAATCTTTGGCACCCATTCTTTTGGTTTCTTCCTTATTTTTTCAACCAAGGGTATGTCAGCATCATCAGACCAAATATAATCTTCAACAGAAAAGTTTTTCCACATGTTGTTGATGAGTTCCTTGGCATAGGTCATTACCCTGCTTTTGCTGGAGTGCTCTCTTTCTAGGCTGCGCAGCTCATCCTCAGAGGAAGATGGATATATGGAGGAAGATCGGCCTAAATCAGGCTCTGAAAATGATGTCATTAAGGAGACAGGGGGATAGCTTTTTTCCGAATCAGATCTAAGAGAGAAAAATAATGGCAGACTTTCAATTATATGTGATCAAATGTGAAAAGTTAAGATAGTCATATACTTTCCAAATTCAGAGTCCAATCAGTTAGAGGACAGGAGGTGGATAGGACTTGCAGAAATTAATGCTTTTATTTAGGACACTAAAGCCAGAACCTGTTGCCATTGACTCAACTCTGACTCAGAGACTGTATAGAGTCTCTAAGACTGTAAATCTCTAGAGGCCGACAGCTACATCTTTCTCCTGTAGAAGTCCTGGTAGTTTTGAACTGCCAACCTTTGGGCTAGCAGCTTTCACCACTGTGTCACCAGGGTTCCTTTTTATTTAGAAATAGAAGCCAGGAAGCAGCCTATAAATTATGTAGGCTGACTCCCTTATTTTATAGGAGAGGAAGCAGACACAGCAGAGGCTCTTTGCTCCTAACCTCTACGGAATTCTCTATACATTTTCTAGAGCTACCTTCCTAAAACAAACATCTAATCATGCCACTCTTTACATAAAACATGTCACCATGTCTTTGCACACGTAGGTTCTGCTGCCTAGGAAGTAATGTCTTGCCTTCTGCATCTGCTGTACCTAAATTCCTTCTACTACACTTGACTCAGATGGGACACTTGTAAAAATTCCCTACCAGCCTCCCACCACACCTACATCTTGGCATATTCAACCACTTCTTCCTCTGTCTCTATAACACGGTCACATTATGACATACTGTAATCTTTGGTTCTCAGCTCATCTTTGAGTTCTCTGAAGATATCTTGTTTTCTAATTCTTAGTGTCCAGCAAGCTCTGGCACACAGATGATACATGATCAGTGCTGACCAACTAGAAGAGTTAGGGTACTTGCTTCATGTTTCAAAGAAAACAAATTCTAGTAGAAATGGATCTTGAAATTATAGACTAGTCCAAAACTGGAAGTCATATTTATATCTCAGTCTTAGACTCTTTGTATTACATCTTTTGAGCTCATGTTAATCCATATATTTTTAAAGGGCTTTTAATTAAACTTTAATAGTCACCTCATAGTCTAGGCAAAATATTTTGATATATTTCTATAATTATATAAGTAGAAGGTCAGAAAGAAAATATTAAATGGCCACCAAGTGATCCTCAAAGCAAGTCGTCGCACAGTAATTGGTGCAAGCCATTAAACATTTTAAATCAAATCCTACTTCTGATTATCATTAAGAGTGCTAAAGCGATATTTGAGGGAAAATATTCTGAGATACTTTTGCTCTGCATTTTTAAGTATATACTTAGTTTTACAGTTCCCAAATAACAACTGCACAAACTTACCTAGAAGAAACACTAGGAGTATCTTCCCTGATGATCACTGGCTGGACTCCTTTTAAATTTAATTGATTCTGGTACATTTTCTCTAACTTTGCCATAGTTTCCATATGGGCAGCCTTTAGCTCTTCTAGTTTCTTGAAGTACGCTGCATTAGAGTGGTATATGTCAGAAAAGTTCACCTTGTCCTCAAGGCTTAGATGTGTCCTTTCATCCAGCCCAGAAAAGTTGGAGTTAAAATCTGCCTAGGGGTAGAAAAAATCTATTACAGTGTTTGGAATTGAAAGACAAATTAAGTTGATACTGATCCAAATGCTGCTTCATAAAAAGTCCACCTAATAAGCTATAGGAGTCCTGGTGTAGTATAGTAGGATAAGCACTCGACAGCAAGGTCTGGGGTTCAAACTCACCAGCTGCTCCCCACCAGCCAACTTAACAACAACAGGTCAGCACTTAACAACAACAGGTTATAAGTTACCTGTGGGCTATGTACATTTTCCTTTGTAGTTGCTGTTGTTGTTGTTAAGTGCCATTGAGTCAGTTCTGACTCACAGCGACACTATCAATTTTGGTGGAAGCAGAAAGCCTCATCTTTCTCCCATGGAGTGGCTGGCAGGCTCAAACCATGGACCTTGTGGTTCACAATCCAGTGTTTATAGTATGAAGTCACCACATGCCCTACATTTTCCCCTAATGGTATTTTGTTAAGAATAAGAGGAGAACATGCTGCCAGAAAATGTTATTTTATCCATTTTATAAAGGATGTGAGATTCCCAGATCAAACAATGAAGGTATTTAACCCATTATACTATAATAGGAAAATCAATCCACCTTTTATAAAGGATTTCTACAAGGAGACTCAGAGTTCCTGGGTGGTAGTTAACATGGTTGGCTGTTCACCAGATGGTTGCAAGTTTGAGTCTACCAGAGGGGCACTGGAAGAAAAGACTAGCAACACTTCCAAATAATCAGCCATTGAAAAGGCTTAAAGCGCAGTTCCACTCTGACATAGATGGGGTCGCTGTGAGTCAGAGTCAGTCTGATGGCAACAAGCCTCACTCTGACTTGTATGTTTTAACAAAGATGAAGAGGAGCACAGGTTTCTCATGATACAAACCAAGCAACGACAGTCCAACACTCTCCCCAGAGCTGGGTTCCTGCAGTGTGGACCCCAGACAAATGCCAGTGGCGAGGAGGCAGGACTACAAGGCAGGGGAGGGATCTTAGAAAAACAAAGTTCTCTGTGGCTGGACTTTCAAAACAGTCACTCTTGTAGACAGCAAGAGACGTAGCTCTATGGATGAGGTGACTCTGGGAGTAACAATAGAACAAATGGGCACATGTGGTAGTAATTACTCCATGCGCAGGTCATTCCCAGGAGTCTGACTGAACTTTTTCCTTACTCCTTTCAGGTATCTTTTATAATTCTTTTCACTGAAGAAACTAAAGAAGTAGATCCATAAATAGATCATTTTTTACATTCTCTAAGCCGAGAAAGTTGAAATTATCAATGATACTGTGCATAAAAGTCTACCAACCATGGTTTTAAATTTAGCTTACAGCCTGGAATAGACTCAAAATGAAAAGCGTATTTGCTATGGAAAATTAGAAATCCTGTATAACACTCTAGGAAATAAATCTGTTTAGTGTTTTTCAACAGAGAAAATTCAAACGTTCAATTGTGTGGGCATATACATAATATATATATTATATATATATATATATGTATATATATGTATGTATGTATGTATAGTGTTTTAGTGAGCTAAAAATGGTATGCAAGAGGCCAGTGTTGAATCACTTGGGGAAACAGAAAAAACAAATGGAAAAAAACAAGTTTACTTCAATAGAAATGATACGCAGAAATTGGTTACAAACAAATGAATCAGCAGAAAGCCGCTTTACATATACTGTACAACTCGAGACAGTTTTCTGATTTCTCCTGCTGTTTCTGTATGTGCTTCTCACCATTACCTTCTTAGCTCTGAAATTAGTACCATGGTAACATCCTCATTCATTAAATATTTCAGCTTGCTACTGAAAGATGCAAATCATATTAAAACTCTGCCCCTGAAAGGTTTTCAGCTAGTTTAGGGGAGGTAGTTGCTCTTAGTTGCCGAAAAATCAATTCTGACTTAAGGCGATTCAAAGTATGCAAAGTAGATATAGGGTTTTCAAGGTTGTGACTTCAAAAACAGATAGTCAGGCTTATCATACAAGATGCCTCTAGGCGAGTTCCAGCCACCAATCTTTTACTTACATAATCAAAGCAGACACTGAATGAGACAGAACCCCACCTGCTCCCACCTGAGCAGGGAGGCAAATGTATAACCACATATATCACAATATCAGAAGTGCCAGGGCACTCTGAGAGTTCACAGAAGCTATGTCTACTTTTGACCAGGAGGAAAGGAAAGGGGGATCTCACAGAGGAACGGAGCCATACTACAGAGGGCTGGTGTGGTACAATGCACTATGTCTCTTCAAGTCATAGTCTTTGTTGTTAAGTGCTGTCAAGTTGGTCCTGACTCACAGCAACCCTGTATAGGATTTCAAAGAAATGGATGGTGTGTTTGACCTTGTGGTTAGCAGTCCAGTGCTTATCTTACAGTCCCACACCAGGATTCCATAGTCTATGTAACTCCTACCAAATAACTAGGTTATTGTTGTTGTTGTTGTTGTTAGGTGACATCAAGTCGGTACTGACTTATAGCAACCTTATGCACAGCAGAACAATACACTGCCCAATCCTGGGCCAACCTCACTGTTGTTGCCACAGTTGAGCCCATTGATGCTGCCACTTTGCCAATCCATCTCGTTGGGGGTCTTCCTCTTTTTCTCTGACCTTCCACCTTACCAAACATGATATCCTTCTCCAGCGACTGCTCCCTCCTGACAATATGTCCAAAGTATGAGAGACGAAGTTTGGCCATCCTGGCCTCCAAGGAGCACTCTGGCTGCACTTCTTCCAGAACAGATCTATTAGTTCTTTTGGCAGCCTATGGCACTTTCAATATTCTCCTCCAACACCATAACTCAAAAGCATCAATTCTTCTACAGTCTTCCTTATTTACTGTCCAGCTTTTGCATGCATATGAGGTTATTATAACCAGTAACTAGGTGGGGCCATGCAAATAGGATGTGTAGGACTCTAATAAGAGATCAAAGATAAAACTAGTTTTCAGTAAAATGGTTCTGATGTTTTGTTTTTAAAATAAAGTCGACATATTTGCAACTTAAAAAACAAAAATAAGTGTCAGACAATTAGTTAAAATAGTCTTACTTTTCTAGATTTTGCACCATTTTAGAACTTTATCAAATTGTAAATTTATGATATCTCTCATTCTAAACAAACAGTTTTGTACCTAGTTTTATATATCATACCTTTGTATTATTTTTCTTAAAGAGGGCCTAAATTTCTTATCATTAGATATAAAGCATCCATTTGTGCAGGCATGTTAATGCGTGTTAACAAGACATCCTGTTAAACTCTTTACCTCATTAAATCCTCAAAACAAACAAACAAAAAAGAGATCAGTAATTTTTTCCATCTCAGAACACGGAATGGAGACCCTCAGGACCATCAAAGAAGAGTCAGGAGCAGAGAGTGTCCTTTGGACTCTGAGATCCCTATGCTAAACCTCTTCAATCCAGGGGACAGAGGGCTGTGACACCAAAGAAGTGGTAGCAGAGAAGCCGCAACAGAACCAAGAGCATGAGACAGAGCAGAGCTGCTGCTTTCCAGCCCAGGCAGGAGGCTTGCTTAATTGGGGCAATAATCCTTTGAGCATTTATGAGCAACAGTAATGGAACTTTGCAACTTGTCCAAGCAGGGTAGAGGCCAACAGGTCATGTGGCTAAGAGGCCCCAGACCTCTTAGAGAGAGCCATGCCTGCAGGCACAACTGAGAAAAGGCTGTCCTGACCAAGTAGAACTGAGCCTTTATGATTCTGAATTGTAACCTATTCATTTCTCTAGTAAACTCCATAATCATGAGTATTGTCTCTGAGTTCTGTGTGGCCACTGCAATGAATTTTCAAACCCAGTAGAGAAACAGAGTGCCTTAAGAAGGATGGTTGATGTTAGAATTGGTGAAGAAGGTCTGAGGGTAGAGGCATGTCTGACTTAGGAATTGGCCTTAGGCTGATGATAAATTTGATTCTCCTCCCCACGCCACCTGTGAATACAGAAAAGGTCAAATATGTTTCCCACACCATTCTTAGAGCTGGATAAGGACAATGTTTGCCAGAACAGGGGAGCAATGAAAAGGGAACAAAGATATCCAAGACACAGTGCTAAAGCATTCTTCATGAGCTGGCTCACGGCAACTCAACAGGCTGTACTGTGCTCTCCATGAGGGCCTACGTGACCTGCCTGCAGCATGTAGCTAAATCCCAAGTCTATTAGACTCCAAAGACAGCACACTCCTCCCAAAGGCCGAAAGGGCTTTTTACCACAAAGACCAGCATGCTTAGAGTCAGGAATAGGCACAGAGTATTCAGAGAAAGATCAACAGTCCTGGATGGAAGTGGGAAACATAGCATATGGAACATAGGGTGAGGGCAGAACACAAGGTAAAAAAAAAAAAAATGCAAGGCAAGAGCCCCATCACCAAACCCAGGTGGCCAGGCCGCACCTTTATCTTACAAACAACAGGGGCCATGAAGGCCATGGGTAGATGAGTGACATGCTCCCTGAGTGGTACTTAAAAGGATCCTCCTGATATGAAGTAGAGTGGACTGCAGGAAGGCCAGGCTGGAGGCAGTTAGTAGGTTCCACCAAAGGCCTGGGGTAGAGGTAGTAAAGGCAGAGTTAAGCAAGGAGCCTGACTTGAGAGATTTAGGAGTCTGATCACCAACTCGCTGATGGTCTGAACTAGGGCAAGGAATTAAGAAGATTTATTTTCTTTTTAGCACGATGCATGTCTAGGGAGATGATGGTGCATGCTGACATCCATTAATGTGGGGAACACAGAGCAGGAGAGTGTTTTAGGAAAGGGAAACAAAGCTCTTAGATACACTGAGTTTGAGGGGATGGTGGTACTGCCAGATAGAGGTGCCCAGGAAATGGTCAGGTAAATATGTCTGAGAGCCCTGGTGTGGTGCTGTAGGGTAAGCATTGGACTGGTGACCCATAGGTTAGGAGTTCAAACCCACCAGCCACTCTTAGAAACCCTATACACTGTCGCTATGAGTCAGAACCAACTCGATGGCACAAAAACAACCATGTCTGAAGACCTAGTGAG